GAAAAATTATTACAGCGCCTGGGGGGGGGATGTGGAAGGCATTCAGGCTTAATTCGGGGAACTGGAGCACAAATCCAATTCCCTAAATCAAGAGCCCCTCACCAACATCAAGGAACCTTCCTTGAGGGGAGATCTCTGTTAAATTAACGAGTTTCATCCTAACAGTGATGAAATGAGAGTTGTATTTAAATAAAAGCGTTAATAGTATTGTCATTATATTAACATGGACGCGCAATACCAATGAATGTCGGACAGAACCTCAAATCTGATTCCTTGCGTATCAGATTTGCATCTTTCGGTGCACGAGATGTTCCTCAGTGTTTGTGTATGATACAAGCTATTAGTAAGGATGACACAATTACTGCTTTTTGTGGCGATTATCACTGGTAGAGTTAATGGGATCATTAATAATGAGAGAAGGAACATCAAAGGATTCCATGTGTTTGTTATTGTACGGTGATGCTAGAGACGCGACTCAGCCCTTTAGTAAGTAAAGTACAATGGGACGCCTGCCCGACACCATCAGGAACCACCACTGCAATGACATTGACTCTCTGGAAGGTTACCTGCCGGACATAATCACCGCCGCCGTTCCTTAACTTCTGCTATCCCCAGAAGATACATACAATCTCTGATTGGATTAGAAGAGAACATTCTTGTCACTGTAAATTAATGGTTCAGAGAACCGACACGTTGATAAATTAGACACGTGTGCAATTCTTGGGTATCTTTATTGAGGAAACGTTTCGCCACACAGTGGCTTCATCAGTCCATACAAAGGAGAATCGTGAAGAACAGGAGAAGAAGAATGAGGTAATCAGTCCCTCAACCTTGAGTCCATGTGGTCTGAGGGACTGATTACCTCATTCTCCTCCTGTTCTTCAAGTTTCTCCTTTGTATGGACTGATGAAGCCACTGTGTGGCGAAACGTTTCCTCAGTAAAGATACCCAAGAATTGCACATGTGTCTAATTTATCATTCTTGTCACTACTGACAACAACGGTGATGGTGTTATTCTAGATACCTTGGGCTATAACAGCAGTGTTTGACCTCAACAACATGGACACCTACTTACTGAGCAATAAATGAGTATACCAAGAACATAAGAACGGAAGAACACTGCAGGAAGCCAAAACTAGACACGTCCTCCTCTAAACTAACTATTCCTACTTGTCCAATCTCTTCTCAAAGCTTCCCAAGAATTAGCATCAGTACCTCAGGTATTAATCAAACTCAGCCCTTCTCACTCGTATATTAATCCAATCTCTTTTTAAAGCAACGCACGAACTTCTCTCCTGTCATTATATCTAGCTTGTATTCTTTAATACTCCTCATATACTGGAAATGACCAAGATGTCGTCATGTACTGTCTTATTACAAAACTAAATGCCTCGAGTTTGCTCTATTCAATTCAAAAATCGCACAAAAACAAACTAAGTTTGCAATCGGAGGGAGCCTGGTTTACAAGCTACTTAACACACCACCTTCTTGATACGACATAGTCAGGTTTGCACCTATGCCAACTTATTGCCGCGAGTCGAGTGGCGTGGTAGCTAGTGGATTAGGAGCCATGCAGGATAGTATAAACCAACGTAGACTAGACCGTGGTTTATTGGCTACAAGTTATACCAGGCAGATACGAATAATTGTCAGCCAAGAGCCTAAGACCAAGGGAAATTAGGTATTGTCCACAGGGAAGCTGTCGAGAGAGAATGCAGGCTGGCCACACGCACTCACCTCAGTACCAGCCCACCTAACAAACAAGGCTGTGAAACAAGCCTTGGCGGGCATTATGAAATTACGGGGTAAGAACACCGTTACAGTTATTATTATTATTATTACTGGTAGTAATAGTAGAAGTAGTAGCAGTATTACTATTGTTATATATTCACTGCACACACGTGTGTGTGTGTGTGTGTGGTGTGTGTGTGGTGTTGTGTGTTGTGGTGTGTGTGTGTGTGTGTGGTGGGGGTTTGTGTGTGTGTGTGTTGTGTGTGTGTGTGCGCGCACGTGCAACGCATGACCTTGCACGAAGGAAAGAACCGCCGGATGTCTTACCCAGAAGGCCAACATCAATTTGTCTGGGGAAGAAATTTAAAAAAAATACCGACACACGGGAAAAAACGAGACAAAGGGAATCAAGTCGATCTTTATTGACTTTAATTCTTTAAAACCAACATATTTCTAGAACTAGGCGACAAGGGGCCCAAAAAACAAGAGTCTTTTGGAATGCTAATAATGGCCAACACCCCTCGATCCGCCTTATTTATCCAAACACACTGTGAAAACCCCTGAATTTTGTGTAATAAGCTACCTAAAAGGGATTAACTTCAGTAACACTATTTTTGGGTTTTTCCACTCTCACCTCTATTGTTAAACCATTTTTTCTATACCCTTTTTGAATCTTTATTAAATCCACCCAGTTTATTGTTTTGAGTTCTTTTTTTTACCTCACCCCCCAATTAATGTGTCAATTTTACCTGACACATAGTACAAATCTGTAATTTCTTTACTCAAACTAACCTTTTATTGGGGCCCTTAGTAAAAAAAAGTATAAAGCTAAAATACCTTTTCTTAAACATATTAGAAGAATTAAAAAAGCTATAAAAATATTCAGTTTTTTCTTATTTGAAATAATAAAAAAAGCCCCTCTGAAATTGCCCTTAAATGGGTAAAAATTTAAGACAACATTGTTTTTCAAGAGTTTGAAATGCCGCATGACAGATATTTTAGTACCCTTCGCTTTAATTTACATTTGACGGCAATAAGACATTAGACAGAAGGAAATCTTTACTGAGATAATTTTCCTTGGGGTTTCTTTGCTTTTTCTTGTACCCTCAGAGAATTGGTTTTATTATGAATATTATTTTTCTGGATATGCTCACAGGGTGTTCACTTTTTTTCCCCAAAAAAGAACGTATTATATTTCACTTGATCTAAAACATGAACACTCAGGTTAACAAAAGAACGATGCCCGCAAAACAATGCTTTACAAAATAATCGACGAATGACTTTATTTTTTTATAATCAAGGGGGAAACCTAAAACCCCCAGGATTATACAGCGCCTGTGGGGGAGTGAAGGGATTCAGGCTTAATTCGGGAACTAGACACAGATCCAATTCCCCCAAAACAAGACCCCCCTCACCCCCATCAAGGAACTTCCTTGAGGGAACGAATACGGCGAAAATGAGCTTGTTGGAAACTTTCAGTGTTACTGAGCGTCTTCGATAAACCCACCGTCACAAGGAAGGTCAAGATGACTTTGTCCACAGTATGAAAAAAAATCGTTTCATTATACACGGCAATGACTGTTGCGATGGTTTTGCTCCAGATTTAGTAGGTATTAACATCAAATACATTTTCGAGCACATTGGCATCAACTCTTGCTCACGAATATCATAGACTAGCTTAATGTCAACACGATGTAAACTTCTGTACAGAGACAGCAAGAGGAGTACCTGGCACAGTTGAGAATTCTGTTCGAGTAGCAGAGTCCTCCCTTCAAAAAAAAGTCTTGTAACTGTGTGAGCCTCGGTCTTTCCAGAATTATAATGGTTGACAAGCAACCCAGATATCTATCTACTTCTAAGTTATGAGGAGCAACATGTGTAAGAAACATGTACAACGTCTCCAGTTGTTCTAGGACCAACCCAACATTGTTCGATTAACTGAATTATTATTATAATCAAGGGGAAGCGCTAAACCCGTAGGATTATACAGCGCCTGTGGGGGGGATGGAAGGTATTCAGGGTTAATTCAGGGAACTGGAGCACAGATCCAGTTCCCTAGATCAAGAGCCCCTCACCAGCATCAAGGAACCTTCCTTGAGGGGTTGTTAACTGAAGACGCTGTAATTGTGAATTAGATGAAACGAATTAAGCCATGACATAACAGTTATTGTAATAGCATATTATTATTATTATTATTATTATTATTATTGTTGTTATTGTTGCTGGTGTTTTTGTTGTTAATGGATTCAAAAGAAAGCGCTAAATCAGAATGGATTATGTAGTGCTATGCATCCTGGACGAAAAGAATGTTAAAAATTAATTTATCAGAATTTCTGAGATATATTGTTAATCATAACAAGCTGACTACTGAATATTGCAAATTATAAATTCATCCGCCACATTACGGGTATTATACTCGTGGGGGAAGCGCTAAACCATAAAGGCGATGCAGTGCCCGGGGAAAGGAAAGAGGGAGGAAATTAGATTTAATCTGAGGAAGAGTAAATCCAGTACATTCGTTCAAAAAGTCCTTCGCGAGCAACATCGCACCTCCCCCCTCATTATTATTAATATAATCAAAAAGAAGCGCTAAACTACAAGGGCTATACAGCGCTGCAGGGTAGGGAAGGAAGCGAGGGTATTGGGCCCCCCTCCTTAAAAATAATGCATTTTTTATTAAAGATTAAAAAAAAGACGTTTTTTAAGATTGTCCTTCAAGATGACTCTCATCTCCGGCCATGAACTTCTCGCTACTGGCTCTCTCATGGCTGGATGAGTTTTTTTTTTAACCCATTGTACCTGAAGTAAAAAAAAAGCAGCTTTTGATGCCTCACTGCGCACGTTGTATATACGAACACCAGGAAGTGTATATACGTACACCGGGAGGTGTGTGTACGTACACCTGAAGGTGTATATCCCAATTTTAAGGATAGACACCTCCAAGATATACATAGGTTGTGGAGGATTATTCATTGATTTTCTTGAATGATGTTCTGAGATTTGATAACTATGGCCTTAATGACCATTGTGCAGTTGCAATAAACCGAACAAACTGGCTATGTAGAGTGAATGTTGCAGGAGGTTTATCGTGACGAAGCAGTTACTGCTGCAACCACAATCAGTGTGCCAGTGAATCTTAATTATTATATTCATGTTAAGCACTAAATCCGTTTGCGTCAAACAGCCTTGGTTCAAGAAATTAAATGGGCACCTCCAATTCCTTGGGTCTGGAGATCTTCAGCAACATCAGGATACGATGAAACAGATGTGTAGGAAGATGAGAGCTGTTACCTCCAGGCAGGTCCACTGCCTCCCTCTCCCCACAACCAGAGGTGGTATATATAGCGAGGAGCCCCACATCCTGTGGGACACCTCCGTCACGAAGCAAGAAGTACGGACGCTCACCGTCTCACAATGTACTGGGTGAGTGCTAGTCATTATTTATGTAGAGTGAGGCACTCTGCGTGACGAGTGGTGGAGGTTCGAGCCTCCGTTCAATGTGGGTCCGCCGGTATTGTCCCAGCCGGGGACCTTTCCAGTTAGTGACCCGGCAGACCGGTACTCGGGAGACAGATACTGTACTCACACAAGTCTGTGCCTGAAGACGAGTAAGAAGACTTTAATTAAGTGTCTTATCCACTGTAGTGGTCTGCCAGTTTCTGGACAGAATTTCCATGGGTTCAACCCCCACCCGTTCTGTTGTCAGTCTACTGAGTAACCCACACTGGATACCTTTATCAGTAACACCGTTTTAATCGTTTAGTGGATAACTTCACGAAAACGCTTCTCCCACACAGTGGATACCTTTATTAGTCACAGCTTCTTGCTCACGTAATGTTTTTATAAAGTCTGACAACGTTTCGCCCACTGTGTGGGCGGTAATAGCTATATATATAATAAGGCATCTTAGTATTAAATACTCCACTTTGTACGATTCTACTTACAGTGTTATGCATTATTGCTGTGAAATATTTGTAACCTCTGTATTCGACTGAAGAAGCCTGAATAGTAGACGAAACGTTTCCAAAATGAAGATATACCCAACTACTGCACGTGTGTCTCTACTGGTTGAGGTTCTGGAAGAAAAACACTTGAAAAACACTGGGAGTGATTATGTCGGAGGATCTCACCTTCAAGGACCATAACATTGTATCAATCGCATCTGCTAGAAAAAATGACAGGATGGATAATGAGAACCTTCAAAACTAGGGATGCCATGCCCATTATGACACTCTTCAGGTCGCTTGTTCTATTTAGGCTGGAATATTGCTGCACACTAATAGCACCTTTCAAGGCAGGTGAAATTGCTAACCTAGAAAATGTACAGAGAACCTTCACGGCGCGCATAACACACCTCAATTACTGGGAGCGCTTAAAGTTTCTGAACCTGTACTCCCTGGAACGCAGGCGGGAGAGATACATGATTATATACACCTGGAAAATCCTAGAGGGACTAGTACCGAACTTGCACACGAAAATCACTCACAACGAAAGCAAAAAACTCGGCAGACGATGCAACATCCCCCAATGAAAAGCAGGGGTGTCACTAGCACGTTAAGAGATAATACAATAAGTGTCAGGGGCCCGAGACTGTCCAACTGCCTCCCAGCATACATAAGGGGGATTACCAACAGACCCATGGCTGTCTTCAAGCAGGCACTGGACAAGCACCTAAAGTCGGTACCTGACCAGCCGGGCTGTGACTCGTACGTTGGATTGCGTGCAGCCAGCAGTAACAGCCTGGTTGATCAGGCTCTGATCCACCAGAAGGCCTGGTCACAGACCGGGCCGCGGGGGCGTTGACCCCCGGAACTCTCTCCAGGTAAACTCCAGGTTGGTGTCTTGGCGCACGGAAGCATTCTTTATCCTAGACATTCCCTCCACTTGCCCTTCCTTGGATCGAACCTGAATACCTAGCCTTCACGCTCTATATGGTTGGTGCGGGTTTAGCGTTTCAAATGAAATTGTATAATAATAATAATAATAATAATAATAATAATAATAATAATAATAATAATAACAATAATAATAATAATAATAATAATATGTCCTTCCTAAATTATATTCATTGAAGTGATTTGTGTGGAAAGTGATTTTTTTTCATTTACCGAGTTTATATAAGATACATGAATACAGGGAATTGTGTAAAATAGCCACACATCCATATTATGGGAGCCACTCACCAGATCAAAATGACGTGCTGGCGACAAGACGGAAGAAAAGGCATGTTACAAGACAAACTCATATTGAAACAACGTTTTGCTCCGTGTAGAGCTTAATCAAGTCTTGATTTGATGAAGCTCTACACAGCGAGACGGTGTTCCAGTGAAAAGATGCTTTGCAACTTATCTTTCCTTAAATTAATAAGAAGCGTGTTTGAGCTCCGTTGCGACACAGGTGTTGTAAAGGGAGGTGCTGGATGGTGGAGATGTTTATGACCTTCAAGGATATCTATTGATACCAGCCTAACAGGATATAAGGACAGCCGGCTGCTGTCAGTTAACACATTAATTATATATATATATATATATATATATATATATATATATATATATATATATATATATATATTATATATATATATATATATATATATATATATGTTTGTGTGTGTGTGTGTGTGTAAAGAATGCCGTCGTCTTTATTTTTATCCGATTTATTTATTGACGTTACTGACGAATTTTCATCCATCATCAGAATCTTGAAGTATATTATAATAATATTTACACAGTAACTTTAAAACAATATCACAAAATCATACCAGTTAAAATTCTAATCACAGGATGAATTAAGTGACCATGCTAAGCTGTACACTTTCCTTCGTGCACACATTGGGAGATCCAAGGCCAGAAGTTGACCAGGGAGGTGAAGATAGTGAGTGGTTTCCCACAGGTGTCCTGGGTGTGGAAAGTTACCAGGCCAGCAACTAGCCATTGATCCTGAGCACGTGTTCCAGCGTTCACCAGGTAAGGTCCTCCAGATGATCCTTCCTCTAAGAATCTCTCGGACACTGTCAGTAAAATGTTGGTTAATTAAGGATAGAAATTTTTGAAATGCTAGCACCAAAACTGAATGTATTTTGGAGAAAGAGCTTATATTAAAGATTAAAAAAGGGCATAATACCGTGACTATTGTTCCTTAGACTGCCTCCACTGTTACTACTACTATTTCTTCTCTAGCATTCCATTCTCTGCCCCATTTTTTAATTACCACTACTGCTTTCATATTGCCAACTCCATCACTGTTGCGCTACTTCTACTACTACTAGCTACCACTACCTCTTCCATCCCCCACCCCACTCTCGTATATATTCAGGCTACCTTCCCTTTACGCTTCTCTGTATGGCTAGTTAATGGTCCAAGTCAGACCGAAACGTCGTCATAAGTTTCAGTCTATGTGTAGATTATTTGTGTACATCCTTGTGACTATCCTTTCTACTCTTTTCCATCCCCTTCCAGTTCCTCCCCTTCCCTTCCTTCCTCTTCCACCTCTTCCGCTCCCCTCCCTTCCCTCTCGAGGTCCATTCCTCATTTCTCAAGTTCATTTCTTCAATTTCAGTCAATCTTTTTCCCTTCCAGGTCTTCCTCTACACTTTTCAGTCATTGTTTCTTCTCGTTTTCCATGCACTCTCCTTCCACTCAGAGCCTTCCACGAGGTTTCTTTTCCTTCCTTTTCCTCACCTGTATTTCCCAACTACTCCCCTGAAACAAACGCTCAATTTGAACTCTACAAAACACGTACTTGGAAAACTAGCCTAATGCTTTAAGTCAGGAGTCCCAAGACTCTTCAGCTCATCGACCCTTCATGAAGTCTTAGACTTTTCATCGACCCCCAAACATTTATTATATGAAAATAATTTAATTAATAGTACTTTAACAAGTAGTACTACGAATAATAATAATTAAAAAAAATAGGTAATGTTTAAATTATGAAAAAAATATAAGATTTAACATTCTCTTTTTTACTGAAACTGTTGATAGCATTAATGGGAAGGATTCATGTCATGAGGGTCAACAAGGACACTGATGCTAGGTTGGAGAGATGAGAGACACAAGGGAGAGGTGGAGGGTCACAGATACCCAACGCAGAGCACGTCCCCAGACATTTACTGACTCCCTTTTTGACCCACAGCCATTTATCGACCCCCTCGATAATCCCATCGACCCTTAGGGGTCTATTGACCACTCTGGGGAACTCTGCTATCACATGATGAAAATTTAAAATATCACTAAGATTTCTAAAGTTGTTTCTCTAAACATGACTCAATAAACATTGTTTTTCCTACCAATATCATTTGCGCAGAATTGGTTGGAGTCAATGTTGGTAGCTCTGGAACATGCGCTGTGCGGAGAATCACACCGAGAGTCGTGTTGCTGAAGAATTACATCCCAATTGTAATCTCCGCTCTGATGCTTAAATGTCTGCCGAGGAAAAACAACGTAATTAAACACTTTTGGTCGTTAAATTTATAGATTTGTTTTAATGTAATTGCACTGAAATTTCTGCATTGTGAAGAAAAAAAACACATTAATAGAACCAGTCTTTATTTGAACATTATTTTTCACTCTACACAGCTTTAGCATATAATTATTTGATAAAATTGTACTCAGATCCATGTGATGTTCCGATAAAAGCTTGTTTTCTGCCCCTTGCATTTCATCTTCAACAATGTCAGCAGTACGCTGTGTAGATCCTGCATTATTTCTGTTAAGCACATGGCTAACCCGTGGTTATAAATTCTGAAGTCATCCTAGGATAATCCGGCAGAGCAAAACATTATTTTCTTGCTTAGTTACGTTGCTCTTCTCTGATAGTACCAATGAAAATTTTGATGAGTTCTTTTAGGAGCAAACTTTTAATCGAGTTTGTACTCATTTGCACTTCCGTTCGAAAGTCGTAATGTAAATAAAAAACAGTATTTTAATGTGCTGCTATAAATATAGGGTGAATTCATTTTGCACTGGTTTCTCTATCTGGAGAAGCATTAAAAATGATCCTGGTTATTAAAATCATACATATATGTAAGCGCTTTCGCTCTGAAAGTTTCATGTGAATGTTGGGATTCAGAAGGTTACTTAAACTGTAATATCCCATCACTTCTGGTACAATAACCCCGAGTAAGTCATGGCGATGTGTTTCCTTCTCCAGAGTCACCCTTGTCCTTGGAAAATGATTTAATAATTCGAGAGTGACATTTCTGACCAGTCTTACGAATGTAAAACTGACTGTCAATTCACTTTTAAACTTGTTTCTACCAAAATAATGAGGATATACATAACAAAAGTAAGCATTTAATAAAAATAAAAGTCGTCTCTAGAAAGTATTATGTTCCCCGATGGAGATAAAAGGTATAAAATGCCGACACGATGGAAAAAAAGACAAATGCAGTACAATGCGAGTCTTTATTTTTATTACATTATGCTGCATTTGTGGGTAAGACACATGGAACAGTTAGGTATCTTTATGTATCTTACCTAACAACCTGTCGGTATTTTATACCATTTTAATATTCACACTGCATTTGTGTTTATTTTTCCATGTTCCCTGATAATGTCAATAATAATAATACTTACAACAGCTGTTTTTTCACCAGGAAAGTCTTGGGTTAAGACACAAGCCGGCTGTATATGGTAGGAGAAGGTGATTGCCTTCTTCAAGCGAAGCAAAGATACGTCATTAGAAGGTCTCCGTCCTGGTTTGTAACCCGGAAACAGATGCACACTGCGAATCTGGCCAGAAAACATGTGAAGGATTACCCAGTAAGGAATCAGGTGAATAATGAACAAAGCAGGAACATAAACATCGATAAAATGCCGTAGAGGGGAAGCAGGTGAGTAATTACCCATAAAAGAAACTGCTGTATAATACGTAGGAGGGAGTAACATAAGAATGTTGTAGCACTGAAGCAGGCCTACCGGCCCACTCAAGGCAGAGTCTTATCAAAACCACCCAATCCTACCTACATATTTATCCAACCTTTACCGAAAGCTACAAAAGAATTTGCTACAGTACCTCAGGTACTAATCAAACCCAGCTCTTTTCATTCCTATATTTGTCCAATCTCTTAAAGCTATCCAAGGTATTAGCTTCCATCACCCTACTCGGCAGACTGTTCCACGCATCGACAACTCTGTTTGAAAATCAGTATTTACCTACGTGGGTATCTGATCATTTGGGTGAGAAATAGACCAGGGGACATTGATAAAATAAAGTAATAGGAATTGCAAAAGGGAAATAAATTATTTCGAAGGCAGACAGTGAGATATACCTGTAAAAAAAAAAAAAGGCGAATATTTGATGGATATAAGGACATGCTCCAGAAGATTTATTGAAGAGCAAGGGAAGAGGTATATTTTTGGATGAAATGACATCGTTTCTGAATAAAGATTGTTTCTTAAAATTTAATCAGAGATATATAATACCAGCAAGCTGGTGAATCAGAAATATTTGCAACTTGCGAGGTAGGCGAAACGTCGCTTTAAAGCGATGTTTCGCCTACAGGGAAGAGGGGAAGGGTAGCTTTATGTTAGTCTAATAGAGAGATATGAGAAAGGAGATTTAATGTAGGGGACCAGAAGAGATGGTAGTAGTCTGGTTGATGTGCACTGATGTAGTAGTAGTCTGGTTGATGTGCACTGATGTAGTAGTAGTCTGGTTGATGTGCACTGATGTAGCAGTAGTGGTAGTAGTATTAGTAGTATAAGTAGTAGTAGTAGTAATACTACAGTAGTAGTAGTACAGTAGTAGTACAGCAGCAGCAACAGCATGTTAAGTAAAAGGACACAATTGCAACTAATGTGACATTTTATTGTGGCAACGTTTCGCTCTCCAGGAGATTTATCAAGCCGTTACGTCTTAATAAAATGGTTCAAGGCTCAAATCACCACCAATATAAAACATAAAAAATGCAGATATTCTGAATTTTTGCTTATTACTGTATTTAGAAGCATAGTACGGGGAGTTTATGTCTCTGAAGGTCTTGACTCAGTTAACCTTAAAACGTGACGACACAATCAGATAAATCACAAACGAATATCCACTGAAATGTCACCATCTACTAACATCTAATATTACTGATATTGTTGCTACAATAACAACAACAACAACTACTAATACTACTACTTTACAGCATGTCATTCCCACTACTACCACCCTACCTCTTGTAATATACAAAATCGCGTTTTTCATCTCTCTCCTAAAAATTAATAAAACTTTTTGGTGGACGAATTGTCTCTAAAATAATGAGCTCCAAGTGTTGCACATGTGTCTTATTCCCCAGTTTCTTCCTTAGTCTCAAATACATTTTTTTTGCTTGAAAGATAAGCTGAACGGTAGTATTTAGTGACATAACTGAAATCCCCAAACTTTCCAAAACTCACATATGACGTAATGAGTTGTCCGTTGGTCTGAATGTGTTGTACTCTGATGTCTTCTGCATTCACTGCCTGACTGGACGCCTGTGATCTGTCGCCAGAAAATAAAATCAGTAAGTTTGTGTGTGTGTGTGTGTGTGTGTGTGTGTGTGGAGCAGTGGCTAGAGCAAGCAAATAAAAAAAATTAAGTGTAATGAAGACAACTCAAAAAAAAAAAAAAAAAGAAAAAAGAAAAAGAAAAAAAAGGTTAATAACAATATAAAAAGTTAAAAAAAAAATGTTTCAGACTAAACTTTTTCTCAATAAAAGTTTCTGAACGAGCTTTTCTTAACAATTGTCGCAATATGAAATTTTGCACCAAGATAAAATACTGTAAAAATATTATCAATAAAAAATTATTTTTTTTAAATACTACTGTGCTTTTTCAATCGTATGTATTTGCTCTGTACTCGTGCAGCCAAAAGAAGTTCGTGATCAAAGAAGGGGAGCAATTCCCCCATTCCTTGGGTCTTTTTGGTTTACTTCTAGAAAAAAAAATGCTAAAAATATTCTAAAAATAATAACTTAATAAAATTTTAAGAAGAAGAAAAAAAAAAAAAAGAGGGGCAAAACACAACGATTGAAAAAAAAAATTGATTCGGGAAAGCTTTATGGTTGGGTTACCTGGTGAGCATGAGCAGTGGAGAACTGTCGTGAGTGATGACATGGCCGTGGGGCATGATTGCCGTTGATGATGACAGCAGCCAGCCAAGGCCATTGGGTTTTGCTTCCATTCGCGGTTGCTTGCACCGAGATTCTGTACCCGGGCCCCCTTACACACACTGCAGGGGTTAAGTTTGGGTGAGAGACGTTCCGCATGATTTCCCACTTGTACGAGTCCTTTCTCTTGATATCCTGAATTATATTAATTATATATATAAATATATTTATTATATATATATTTATTATATATATATTATATATTTGCACCCGCAGAAACAAAAATTCCCCCGGGAGCGCTCTTTCCGCTCAGCCACACAAGCGAGTGCCACATAAGCTGCGCAGGGGACAAAAGCATATATATATATATATTATTATTATATATATATATATATTTTTTATATATATATATATTTTTATATATTATTATATTATAATATAATACAAAAAATGTTATATTACAAATATATAAATTATTATATTATTTATATATAATATTTATATATTACATATTTTATTATTATATATTATAAAAATATTATTATATAAATTATATATATATTTATATATATAAATATTATATATATAATTTATATATAAATATTAATTATATATTAAATACTATATATATATAATTTATATATAAATTATATATATATATATATATATTATATATTATTTATATATATTAAATTTTTAAATAAATAAATATATTTTATGTATATAATTTTATATAAAAAATATATTTTATATATATAAATATATATATTATATTTTAAATTTATTTTAATTTTATATTAAATATATTTATTATATTTTAAATATTATTTATTTATATAAAAATATATTATTATATATAAATATATATTATATTATATAAATTAATTATATATTTTAAAAAATTTTATTATATATTATAAAATATATTATATAATAAAATAAAATTTATATATATTTAAAAATATATATTTTATATTTATATATTATTATATATATATTATTATAAATATATATATATATATATTATATATATATAAATATATATTTATATAATATATTATATATTATATATATAAATTAATTATATATATATAAAATATATATTATATATATTAAATTTATGTATAATATAAATATATATATTATATATATATATTATATATATATATATATAAAAATATAAATATATTTATAAAAATATAATATAAATTTTATATATAAATATATATATTATATATATATTATATAATTTTTAAAAAATATATATAATATATATATATATATATAAATATATATAAAATATTTTTATTATATATTATAAATATATGTATATATTAAATATAAAAATATATATAATTATATTTATATAAAATATATATATATAATTATATATTTATAAAAAAATAAATTTATTAATAAAATTTTAATATATATAAATATTATATATATAAAAAATTTATTATAAATATATATATATATATATATATTATATATAAAATATAAATATATATATAATATTATATATAAAATAAAATATATATATATATATCATTAATATTATATAAAATTTATATATAAATATATATATATAATAATAATTATATATTTATAAATATATATATATATAAAATAATTATTTACATATATAAATATATAAAACATATAAAATTTATATATATAAATATAAGAAACATAAGAACATAAGAATGTAGGAAACACTGCAAGGCCCTACTGGCCCATACGAGGCAGGTCCTTATCAAAACGACATCACCTAAAGCTACTCAAGAAATAACTCCCGTACCCCTTGAAAACCAATCAAACCCAGCCCTCCCACTCATATATTTGTCCAGCCCTTTCTTAAAGCTACCCAAGGTCCCAACCTCTATCACCCCACTGGGAAGACTGTTCCCCGCATCTACAACTCTGTTAGAAACCAGTACTTACCTATGTCCTTTTAAATCTAAATTTATCCAACTTAATCATTATTCCTGGTTCTTACCCGGTTCGACACCCTCAAATACTTTTTTTAATGTCTCCCCGTTTATGCCCCTCATCCACTTATACACTTCAATGATACCTCCCCTCATTCTACGCCTCTCCAGAGAGTGGGGGATTTAAGGCTTTAAGTCTATCTTCATACGGGAGGTTCCTTACACAGTAAATCATTTTAGTCATTCTTCTCTGTATGTTCTCTAATGAGTCTATGTCCATCCTGTAGTAAGGGGACCAAAACTGAGCAGCATAATCCAAATGAGGCCTCCATAGTGATGTATAGAGCTGTAAAATAACTTTTGGACTTCTGTTACTTATACTTCTTGGGGATAAATCCAAAGTAATCTGTTGGCCTTGTTGCGCACACTGAGGCACTGCTGTCTTGGCTTTAGATTTTTTGCTTACCATGACTCCAAGTTTTTTTTCACATTTTGTATGACAAGCTCTACTTCACCTAGATTATAGCTTCGAGGGTTATTTTCATTACCAAGGGCAAGTACCCTTTCACTTATCCACTTTAAACTTATCTGCCCTTTCTCAGACCAAGACATTAATTTGTTTCAAATCGTCCTGGAGTTCTTTTATATCCTCCTCAGAGTGAATTATACGGCTATTTTGTATCATCAGCAAACTTACTCATGTCACTAGTAATCCTTCATCAAGGTCATTAATGTAAATTTTGAACAAAGAGAGGGCCAAAAACTGATCCTTGTGGAATGGAACGCCACTTGTGACTAATCCCCAGTCAGATTTCACTCCATTAATGGTAACTCTTGCTTTTTTTGGTAAACCATGCCTCAATCCCTGCTAGAACTTTACCTCCTATACCATGAGCTGCCACTTTTCTTAAGAGTTCTCTTTGAGGTACTCTGTCGAAGGCTTTACTAAAATCCAAATAACAATATCATATCCTTATCACTGGTCAACTGCCTCAAATGTTCTATTGAAGAAAAGTCAGTAAGTTTGTCAGGCAGGAACGACCCCTAGTGAATCCATGCTGAGATTCATTTATCAAGGTTATGTTCTTCAAGGTGACTTCAGATAATGTTTAGCTATAATTGATTCTAATAACTTGCCCACTATAGATGTCAGGCTTTTGGACGGTAATTTGAAGGAGTGGACTTATCCCCTGATTTGAATATAGGAACCACAAATTTGCCATCTTCCACATCTCTGGCACAACAAATGGTAGGATGGACGCATTGAATACACTCGTTAATGGCTGACTAAGCTCCATCTTGCATTCCTTAAGTACCCTTGAAAACAACTCATCGGGTCCCGGGGATTTTTTTTGTTTCAGTTTGTCTATCTGTTAATAACCATGTCCCCCGTGACAGTAATATTAGTTTAACTTAAATTCATCAGGAACTAAATAATTGTTAATTACTGGAATCTCATTACATCTTCCTGTGTAAAAACTGACAAAAAATAGTCATTAAATAAGGAACACATTTCCAGTTCATTATCCGTCAGCTGTCCATTCCCAGATTTCGGGGTCCTACTTTTTCCTTCACCTTCGTCCTATACACTTATATATATATATATTAAAATATATATATATATATATATATATATATATATATATATATATATATATATATCTATATACATATATATATATAAATATATATATATATATATAAATATATATATATATATATATATATATGTATGTATATGTATATATACACATTATATATATATATATATAAATATATAGTGTCTTGCTAGGAGCACCTCTGGGAAGCAATGCCATTGACACAATTCTCAGGAAGAAATTGGAAGAGTTAAGGAGAATGGAACAACGAATAGTCAATCTGGACACCCACGATGCCTTGTACCTTCTCACAAAGTGCTTGAGTCTGCCCAGGTTGACATATTTCCTAAGATGTGCACCTTCATATGATAACCCTATACTGCACGAATATGACAGTATTCTGAGGCAGATTTTTACGAAAGTACTTAACCTTACTCTAGAAGACGGGCAGTGGAACCAAGCTACACTTCCAGTCAGACTAGGAGGCATTGGTGTCCGCAAGTCATCACAGATTGCGTTACCTGCTTTTCTGTCCTCGTGTATTGCATCCAGAGAGCTTGTAGCAGCGATTCTCCCTGAACATCTTAGGGACAAGATAGGAGTCCAGGACCAAAAATTCATTGAAGGAGCAATGATCTGGGATAATTTAACGGGCTCTGGAGCCAGACCTGCTCCCCCCAACAACTACAAACAATCGCACTGGGTTGGTCCAATAGTGGAAAATATTGCCTCAACAATGCTTCAGAGTGTGTCAGGGAAGGATAGAGCCCCCCTCCTGGCAGTGAGAGCCCCTCGTGCTGGGGACTTTCTGTTGGCTGTTCCCAACTCCAGCCTTGGCACACGTCTCGATCCACAGACCATCCACATCCGTGTTGCCCTTCGACTTGCCGCCCCTATTCTCGCCGAACACAGGTGTATTTGTGGCAGTGAAGCAGTAAGGGAGCCACCCCAACTATGCAGATCTGATGGCAGCCA